GCAACCTCAGGATTCCAAGCTCTATGCCCCAACCACAAGGCCAGCACTTCCCTCCAATCTTTTCATGTCAGCTGCAGCACTTTCTAGTTCTGCCAGTGTTCTTTGCTCGAGCCGCTTCGGCTGGATGACCGTGATTCCTCCAGTCTCCGCCTCATTCGGTCTCGGCTGCACGGCTTAAGTTCACAAGGCTCACCTCGGCATTTAGTGATCAGCTGGTCACAAGTCTGGACGACTCTCGTGCAGCTCTGAGCCCCCCTGGGCTCAGGGCACCGTATCCTAACCTTTCAGCCAAACTCATCCAACTCCTGTGTCTACATACCATTTTTCATTACTCTGTAAATGATAATGCATGTTTTTATGACATTTTATGTTTAAGACAACCACAATACTGTTTTAGGTTTAATTAAATTCTCCATGTAAATAATTTGCCTTGTTAATTGTTTCATGAAAGAACAATTTTATAAATCATAATTTTCCAATAGCAAAACCACTTTTCAACTTTTGCTTCAAGGTGTTAATAGGACTTCATTTTATTTATCTCATACCTCCAATAATTGTTGAGTTTTATTTGTTCTATCAAGTTTCATCAAAAGTTAATTACATTAAGAAATCCTAAGCATAAATGTAACTTGCTCCTTTTGAAAATTGACCTTTAAGTATTCTTTTTTAATTCACCTTTAAGTATTCTTAATAATCAGTGTTTCATTTATTCACTTTGCTACAGTAAGACCAACTTAACTCAGGAGTACTCTAATTCTGTCATCTATGTGCAAAGAAAGGATTTGTCTAATCATGTGGGGTTTATCATAATCAAATATAAGCTGCAGAATCAGTCACTTTACATGCCGTACACAATATCATTCTAGTGTAACGATCTGTACATTGTTTTCAGTTAAAAATGCTTCGAAGCCCTCGGGCCCTAATTCTATTTTGATCGCCCCTGTGTGCTTTCTGGTAACTGTGCTCCTCCTTCTGCCTCTCAGCGAAAACAAGCAGCTGTGTGTGTGTCAGGCATAATGTCTGTGTGTAGAAAATGTGTGTGTTGTGTTTCCGTTTGCCTAGGGACAGAACTCAGAACCATTTTTGGACTTTACTGGGTGGGTGGGAGGTTGGAGCGGAGGGGGGTGGGGTGGGTTTACAGCACTTTTAGTACAAATTGATTTTCTAACCTTTAACATGTTAATTTCAAGACATAGTAAGATGTAAATATATTAATCAATATATTTGTTATAAAATTGACCATAGTTTTCCCCTTTTTACACACATTTGAACAAGAAGATCAACACTGCATATATTTACAGCTCCTCTCAAGGTTCACCTCCAAAAATCACAGCAACATCGATAGCATTTGCAAACCAACAAACAAAATATAACTAAAACCAAACACTTTATAATCGGCTAGACCAGATTTTTCGTATTTTCTTGTGCAAATTATTTGTATTTTCTTTTTAGAAAGTTTTATTATTGTTTGTCTTGTAGTATTTTCTGATGACTTTGGTCCCACTCATTGCTGAATTACTCAAAACGCATCCAAATAGTAAGAACGTGCAGAAATTCGACTTTTTCAGCAACAGGTTTCCTGCATACCTTTCTTATCATATGTCCGGACGTGGATGCATAGAGAGAATCCAGTTATTCATGGGATTTTATGTTTGTTGTCATATTAATCTATGTTTTAACATAACTGTAATCTAATTATCTGCTGTTTAATTCTCCTATTGATCTGTTTATACTGAAACATAATAGAACAAATATTTTATACCCCAGACAGACATGTTGACATTGAACAAACAACATAGAACAGACAGACAGACAAAGAACATTAAGACAGACACACACATAGACAGACACATGCCGGGTTCTAACATAGTTTTGTTTATAACAATATATAGTCCTGCTTAACAGATACATAACGTCGTGGCATTTTTAAGCTTCCAGCGTGTGTGTGTGTGTCAGCGCACACACAGACAGGCTCATAGGACAAGGAGTGAAGAAGAGAAGGAAGGGGGCTTTTGCTAAAAAAACTGTTTTGAAGCTGTTAAATGTTGTCTTTCCCCCACCTTTAATCCATTGTGGGCGGCCTTTTATAGGCTCCACAATGCACTGTGTGGATGCACGTGCACGACTGGACGCTCTGAAGAACTTCCTGGAAGTTCTTGGCCTGTGACCCGATTGCGTGCGAGTCAGCCAGTAGGAACCCTGTTTTTGCCAAGATTCGTACGTGACTCCCAGCTTGTAGACTCTCTGTTTACATGTTGCATTCTCTGTGTTGCTAAGTGGGCATAAGGTCAGAAACAGGACTACATAATGCAGTACAACTGCTTCCATATTTGGCAAGCCAGCCAGATATTTATATTCTACAGCATTAGAGACTTTATTATTGCTAAGACTCATACTTGAACTTCAAGATGTACTGTTTTGTTGCTAAGTAAGTATAGGGCCATGTTGTAGGATATATTCTGATTCTGATTTCTGATATAAGACAATAAAACTGCTACTACATTTCATAGTCTTCTTTTCAAGGTGAAAGGGAAACTCAGGTAGGGAAAAACGAAGGACCCCGACTTTGCTGAAAGAATAGAGAATCAATGAGACATATCTACCTATTGGTCCAAAGCCTTATGATCTGAAAGAATTGAACTTTGCCTGATTATTGGAAATCAAGGTGGCAGTGTTTGAAGTCAGGCTAGAGAGGCAGCAAACATTTATTGTTTAAGTCCAGAAAAATGTTTCCATTTTCAGTGATGTTTTTATTCATATGTCATTTGTTTTTGTTTTTTACATTCAACAAAGTCAAAAGATGAAGTAGCTATCAGTCTTTTTTAGAACACCACGTTTCCTTCTCCTGACAAGCCGTCACAACTAATAACATTCGTAGCATCGCTGTGCTGTAATAGAGAACGCTGGCCTAAACATAAACAATGAAGGGGATCTATGGATTAAGGGGAAGGAGAAGATGAGAGACACAAGAGTAAAGAAGCAGAGACCTGAAAAGCAGCCGAATCCCGAGCGCCACTGGCTGATATTATGAGTTGCCTGCTTTAATGCAGTAATCCATCCAGAAGAATTCCTAACCAACAGTTGGGTGCATATGCTGTGCACTGCTGTGCATGAAACATCCCATCTTTAGTATGTCCCAAGTTTTTATGTGAAAAATAATTTTTTACCATATCATGTAGCCTAATCTTCTAAGAAATTTTTATTATTATCTGTAAAGCAGTGATCAATAACAAAAATAGATGAACTCTTGAAAAAATATCACTCTCTAGATAGATGATAATCAGTTGTTACAGAAACATTTCTTTTTTTTCTTTTACTAAAAGTCATAAACAAAAACACAAACTCCAAAAAAACTAATTATGCAAATTATTGCTTTTGTGTTTGATCTGTCTTCTAGTTCTGTCCACATGGAGGAGTCCTCAGTGATGCAGGGCGCCCAAGGGATGCTGGTCCAGAACTGGCCTACTGTCTCCAGTGCTGCAGGTGAATGCTCATCGGGATGTTCTTTTATTAAAACAGGACTAAATTAAGTTTTTTGCTGATAATCTGAAACAAAACTATCAAGCAACATTTCATTTTAGGAGAGGGTATCTCTACAATCTGAATCCTGGACTCGATTTAACAAAATTGCACATTACAAATGTGAAACTTTTTAATATTTCCTTTTGAAAAATGAAAATAAATAGCTGAGTATCCAAGACAAAAATCACATATTTTTAAAAAAATACATTATAAAAGTTAAAACCTGGGTATTAATGTCTTGGATTAATTCTGAGTTTAGGCATTTTTTGTCACAGAACTGATAGGTTTGTGTGTTAAGCTCAATATTTAATCTTAAAGCTAAGCGATATCAAGCATAATACACAGATGCAGAATCTGAAGCAGTTCTTACTATCTAACTCTGAGCATTTATATGGATGAATGAACTCTCCAAAATGTCAGTCTTCTTCTTTGGTAACCTTTATTTCAGGCATTACTGGCAGGCAAAATATAAGCTTTATAGAACAAATTATACCACTTTCCCAAATGTAAAGGCTCAGATATAAATTAGATTTAATACAGAGACTTTGCTTTGATTTTGAACGGATTAAAAGAATTATTGATATGATGTCTACGTCTTTTTGCCCGGGTGGGCATAGATGAGATTTAGATTAGAAGCCAAATGCCTGATGTGCTCATCCAGAGCCAGAGAAAATCAACAGTATCCTCCCATGCAGCCAGGAGCATGGTGAGCTGCTTTTTTTTAAGAATGCAGCCTTTTCAATAAGAAATAACAAATCCTGAGTAGGTGGCGTCGTTGAAGGTATTAGGATTTGTTTTAGCAGTAGTATAAGGTTTTCAATGCCTTACAGTACAGAAAAAAAGGTCATCTCATAAATGTATTTGTTGTTTGAATTGCTATTTGTTATAAAAACAGATTTTAATATAAGGTAATAGTATTTCCTACCAAAAAACCTCAGAAAACAACACAAAAGTTTAAAATGCATTTTTCAGCTGTAAGGAAAATTATATTTACTAATTATAGCTATACCATATGTGTAGTTCAATTTAGATTCTACACAGTATCCATCTGGAAAGCCTCATGTGGAAATTGTTTGCAAAATGGAGGGGACACTACAGTTCTTCAAGTTGATTGGATGCCTGCTTTTAGCCAATCACAGCAGCAGTAGCAGCTGTGACGTATCAGATTCTTGATTTGTTTACCAACTGGTGGAGTAAAATGACCAAATCCAGTCTGCCTTCAATCCACAAAATCTCAAATCGTTTCCTTTTGCTAATTTCTCAAAAAGAAACAGAGTATTCCATCTAGAACTGGTGCAGTCATGTCTGTTTTGCTCCAGCCTTCTTCCTCTGGTCTCCGTGTTGACGTCATACACATCAGCACATTTCATTCTTCCCAGACATTACTGTATTGAGGCTAATGCATCTGTTGGCTTCATTTTTTCAGGATTTTGTGAATTCACAAATCTCGCAACAATTTATCTGCCTTGCAAGGCAATCACACTCATTTTTGTATAAAGATATTTTTTTTAAATAAAAATAGCATTATACTGAGCATGACGGTGAATGCAGTAATGTAGTCCAATTTAGTTTGATGGTCTGAGTCTGCTCTGGCTGATAAGCCTAACCTGGACTAAGTGCTATGACTAAGTAAATTCTACTTTCTCCTAGAAATTTCTGAAAAAGAATATCTAGTTATGGCTTTTTGACCTCGGCTCAAGAACTTATGTTAGGAACAGGACAAAAGCAAACCTCTGGATGTTAAAAAAATTAAATTAAGATTTTTGGAGCTGCTATTGTCTACAAAGCACATTCACAAAAAGTAATCCTTAGACATCTTAGATATCACTGGTTCTGCACTGCCTCCTAAGTGCATTTCAAACAGTGATGATTATTAGCTTATTTAGACCCTCTTGGACAATTTTAATATTAATATTGGAGATAAAATATTAATATTTTAATATTGCAGATATATACAGTACAAAAAATTTAAGTACTATTGACTTAATGTCAGCAATCCCTATCTGCTTCTGTGTAATTCACTGTATAGAGTGCGAGCCTCATTTGCAGAATTTAGTCTGGTTCATTTGCTGGATTTCTTCTTCTATCTCTGCACCCTTTTTTAACATTCATAACAATCAAATAAAGACCGCTAGAGTCACAAAAAGGTCAAACAACTTTTTTAAGAGCAAAGAGAGCCTTAAAATTGACCTGTGTTGCATCATTCGCAGAATCGTCTGCCTTGGAGCTAATGAATAAGACCACCTGGTACTACTACATTATGCTGAAAGTGGCAAAAAGGCCTGGAAAACTTTGGTGAATTATTGCAGTGCTGCAGAGTGCTCCCCTCCTTCAGCTGTGCTTCCATTCATTGATTTTCTGTCGGGCTGCAGGAACTTGAACAGGCTTGGGGACCTCAAGTTGAAGGGTAGCATGGCAGTCTGTGATAGATGGTCTCTGTACTTCTGTCTGTAGCTGTCGTTACTGGAATGTTTTCTTTTTTAAACAAGAAAGAAATACATGTATACAAATAGAATCTATAGTTTTAGGTAGCACTGCCCAGATCTTTCTCTTTCTGGCTTAATAAATAACTAAAACAGGTGCCTTTATTGCAAAGCATTGAATATTGATATTGTCTTTAGATAATCTATTTAGCTAATGAATCTTAGTAATTGGTGATAATTTAGCCTGCTTTTTTAAATTTTAACACTATTTAAAGGCTTAGACACTGACAAGACTGAGCTTGTTTTGGTGGCACATTTAAAAGTACCAACAATGGCACAGTATCATAGCTGCAGTTAATCTTCTTCAGTGTTGAACTTTATCAGCACACCATTGTGCATTTAAGTGCAGCATCCTCAAACTCACATTTTATATAAGCCGTTCAAGCCCACATGAGGAAGACATTTGTGTCATGCCAGAGGGGGACACAAGCTATTATCAGATATTGTACTAAAGAATCAGAAATCCAATAAAAGCAGTATAAGAAAGAAATAGCAAAAGATGCATAGAAGGGAAAAAAAGCAAAGTGCGGGGAAATGGAGGAAGAGAAAGGTTAAGAGGATTGTCAGGTTCCTGCAGTGGTGTTGTTGCTAGGTAACGACATGTGACTTGTTGCCTGGCAACACTGTCTAACTGAGAAATTGCTGCAGCAGCCGCACCCACCATCAGCAGGGAGCGGGTGAACACAGTTTCCATCGCAACCGGCTGTATCTCTGAATGGAATTTCTGCAGACAGGAGTAGGGAAAAATACGGAAGAAAATACAGCTAGGGTGAATAAAAGGTGGAAAGAATGTGAAGTTAAGAGGATTCTAGTAGAACTGTGAAGCTTATTTATGTCTTACGATGGGAACTCATTGCATTTGATATGTGAACTCTTTAGGGATTCACTTGAATTAAGACTGAAAATAAACTAGCCCATTTTCTTTTAAATGTAGGACATCAGGTTAAGCAAAATGAGACTTCAGACACTCTTAAATCCTCCTCAAGTGTCATGGCAATGTCCTCACAAGGAGCTGTACTGACCTGCTTACCAGCGGTTATACAATAATCCATTTTAGGTCCTCATATGAGGATATAGGCTCATCTGGAAAAAATGGGAAACATATTAGAGAACATAGAGGCTGACCTGAGGCATGACCTGCTCACAGAGACACTAAATTACAGACAAAGATTTCTAATGATCATTAATATCTTAATGAAAATATCCAAGATCAAGATTGTCACAGCAGCCCAAGAAGCTTTGGGATCTCCCAAGGCTTTCTATTTGAGCTTGAAACATGCCTCATTTTCTGATAGCAGAGCCAGACTTTACTAGAATCTTCTGTAGTGGTCCTATGCAATAGTTAAGCTACCTTTCTTAAAGTATTTTAAAAATGTTCTTTAAAATATTTGCTACTCATTTTCCGTCTCATCTCTAGCCTTTCTACATATTTATTCATTTCTTTATCTTTAAAATCCTAAACAGATTGTGGATGGTTTGGCCAGCACATGGCAGGCAGTTAAGCCAGTTTTAGGTTTGATTTCTGGCTGAACTGTTGGTGGATAAAGATTTAACACACACACACACAAAAAAAAGAAAAATGCCATCTGGTTATTTTTAAGCTTAATGGTGATCTCTTTCGCGCTGCCAATGTAGCTAAATCTTACCTGAAAGATATTATTTGAGGGTTAGCCTCTTTTGAGCCAAGACCTTAGGAAATATCTGAAGCAGCATATAAAGAAGAATTTGGGGAATTTCACAAGGTTATTAACTTTGTCTTTTTTTCAATTTAATTTTCATCTCATTTGGTAGGACTAGTCACATTTATTAGCAACCCAGAAGCAGACGTGTTAAAGTTGTGGAATAAAATGAATTGTTGCAGGATCACCATCTAATAAAAATAATATTAATAATAAAAAAAAAAGAAAAATGTTGTGCCATCCAACCTTTATCTTGTCTACATTAAGTCAGGGGACAAAAAGTCCTTTGTAACATTTTTTTTTTCTGTTTCTTCTTGCAAACTAATCGTCTCATCTTTCCGTTTGAAGAAAATGTGAGTGAACATTTCGATTTTTCTTTAAGCTAAGCAGAGTTTCCATAAACGTCTAATTAGTAATTTATGAATCTGTATTTATCTGCCAGCACAGTGAACAGAATGGCTTGGAAGGTATTAGAAAATAGCATTTTATATTTACTGCAAATATTTGAAAGAGTGAGAGAAAAAGTACTTTCAACCTACCATACCAAATATAAAAGCAGAGTTTAGCAAATCAAAGGAAAAGTCCGGCCAGCAATGAACTTCACCATTTAAATTTGCGACAGCTATCATTAAAGTGACAATGCCCAAGTGCATGGCAGTTGGATGTTGCAATAAATCTGGTAAAAGTGAAAAAACAAATTGTCATTACACCTTTCCGATTCATGATCCACGAGTTTGTCGTTGGATTGCCAACTTGAAGAGGCAGGATTTGCCATCGAAATTCTTGCCAGAGAAAAAAA